CCTTACATCTTTCAGAATGAACCAAATGAGTCAGCCCTCAAGCACATTAGAACTCTTCACCTTTGACAACTTGAACAGTCAATAACACATTATAACTCAGCAGGTCTCAAGTAAGTGTGAACAATTACTATTCTAAATGAATTATTATTCTTTATTTACTTGTGATTTATTTTGTTTTAACAATTCTTTACCACAACAGTTCACACTTGTTCTATGACCCTCTCTGTAGGTTTCTTAGGTCTGGTAGACCTTCTCAGTATCTCAGACATTGGGGAAGGTGTTCAACAGGGTTAGCACCTCATTGTTCAGTTCCAGTCTGTGGCACTTGGCCAGAGGTGGCGCTGGTTGACTCGAGTCCATGTTAGTGCACAAAGTAAACTGCTCGCTGTGGTTGTGGAGCAAAAACGCTGAATTCGGAGAAATAAACCGTGGGAGGGGAACGATAACGACGACAAGAGTCTCCCGATCATTTACTCTTGCTGTCCTGTGAACAACATCGGCGTGGTTTTAATTGTTTGCTGTTTTCGCGATCGCGTCGCGCGTGAGGATATCACCAGGTAAACTCGCCACATTTTTAAACATTTTGTTGTTCAACAGCATCAAGACTGACGGAGTGTGTTTGAGATAAACAGATGACACATTTGCGAGTTTTTTTTGCTGGTTTGTCAGTAGTAGCTCCTGAAACGCAAGTCTGCCACACATCTGTTCGACTAACGCCAGTTGATCTAAATGCCAGTAGATCTGGAACACCGGCAATGGTGAGCAGCATGGCTATTTTCCTTTCATCTGCCCGACGATCCACTCTAACAGCTGCAATATACAGTTTGAACTGCTGTTTGAAAGTCCTCCAACTTGCATCCACGTTTCCAGTCAGTTTCAACGGACTTGGCGGTTTTATTGCATCCATCTTGTTGCGTTGCTTCTTATTCTTACCCCGACTCCTGGTACCATGTAATGTTCTTATTCCTCTATGAATAAAACATCAAGAATTGCTCCTGGTGCTAGCTTCAGCTAGCTGTCTATTGTTTTTTCTACAACGATCACTTCTTCTATTCTGTATATCTTATTGATTCCAGAGCGCCCCCTTTGGGTAGCTTCAACAATAGCAGCTATCATTACACCTCCTTAGAAACCTGGCCATCTGAATCGCTATGCTGCTCTGTGTCCTCTCCTTCATTTTCACCAAAATATGATCCTGAACTTAGCTCACTGTGAATCTTCTTCTCAGTTTTTGTATGCTGCAAATTGTAAATGTGCAATCTGGAAGTCAAATGGCCACTCAAATAGTGAATTCCCCTCACGTCTTGATATGCCCGTGTTTATTTTGTTTGGTTTTTGTGCAGGTATACTGCAAAAACCATGCAAAATAAGAATCCCCTGAAGCTCATATGATTAGGAGAGGAGCTTGCTGTAAGTGTTTTAGCTGACAGTGCACTTATGATTTCAGTTTTGGCTTTAATTATTGCTTTATACTCATAATATTATACCTGGGTCGAAACCGACCCTAACAACACAAAGGTCATAATTTCAACTAGGGCATTTTATAATTTAGTGAAAATATATATATTTTTTTTATTTGGTAGAAATAGAGGTTCCTAACAAAGTCAAAAAGCCTTGATATAATAAACCAGTGGTTCTTAACCTGGGTTCGATCGAACCTTAGGGGTTTGGTGAGTTGGTCTCAGGGGTTCGGCAGAGCCTCCGCTGTGACATGCACGGCTCATTTTGTGCACCAGTAAAAAACATATCTATGTCTTGAATTTGAAAAAAATCACATTTTATTTTTAACTAAAGAGGGGTTCAGTGAATGCACATATGAAACTGGTGGGGTTCGGTACCTCCAACAAGGTTAAGAACCACTGCAATAAACAAATGTATGTGATTTTTTATGTATTTGAAATTTAAAATGGGTCGGTGCCGACCCTAACACGAGAGGAAGGTTAAGTGCAAATGAAAGGTCAGTACAACAAAAACTTTTACTTGTCATATTGAAAGATCAACATATTAACCAATATTTGATGTTTGTTGCAGAAAAGGAATTGGATCAGTTTGAATGAGCAAACTATTATGTATTTTGTTATTTTCCTTTGTTTAAATTCTATTCCTATTCTGTTTTAATTGAGTTTCCGTGTTTGTTTACAATAAAACTCCAGATCCAAGTGACAACAAGGTAAAATAATGTTACCTATCGATAGTGATGGATTATCGCAGGAGGCCTCAAATCACCAGCAGATGTCAGTACTTCAGATCAGAAAATGAATTTAAATAAGTTATATTTGAATTCGCATTGCTCAGATTGAGTCTGAATTGCTCAACTTGAATAAATGTTTTTAAAAAATTAATTTGGATTTGCATAATTTGAAATCCAATGTATTGGTTTGGAAATGATCATCACTAAATTGAAACAGAATTTTATATTTTATAGATGAATGTATTTGCTTGTATTTGTATGCTTCTATAATGTATTTTATGCTTTTTAAAATTTAGCTCTCGAATACTTTAAGTTTCACTTCTACAATTTTGTTTTTGGGTCAAACAAGAAAGCCACAGAGAAATCGAGCACAGGTTAATAGAGCTACACTGTGCCAGCGGACCCAGAGTGTTACTCTGCGGACCTACAGCATCTTGAGTTGGAACAGGGCACAGATTTAAGTGTTGAGTGAGTCCTGTACACTTGCTGAGATCCCCACAGTATGAGAAGGCAAAGTTTACTGGGTAATTTTAGGTGTATAGAAACTGCAAGTCTCTTCAATTTTAGTACTCGTGAAAAGCACCATGGGTTCATTCATTAAACGTGCTGAAAATAACCTTCATGATATGAAGCCACAGTGCATCAGTCTTTGGTTAAGATACTAACCCCATGTTGCTCTCTGATGCATCCATCCGAGTGTAAATGTGTATGAATGTTAAATAGGCACTAACACATTAGAAAAAGTGCTGGGTGTGATTGGATGAATGAATTAGTTGTATAAAGTTGTATAAAGCGCTTTGAATGCTCAAGTAGAGTAGAAAAGCACTATATAAGAACCGGTCCATTTACCCGTTTGGTGGAAATAGAGTTGTCAGTGCAGAACTTCATATACTCTGATATACACTCTGTTAAACCATCAATGTCACTGCCGTGTGGTTCATCATTTGTTTACATGACGCTTTTTATTATACATGTAATACATTTATTACTAACCTGAGAGTTTATCGACTGGTCATTTGACATGACCAGAACTGAAACAGAATCGTTTTAATTTAACTCCTGACAAGTTGGCATATATTTGGTGGTGGTTTAAAAGTCTTCCTCCTTATTCCTGCTCTGCCAACTCTCAGCCTCATTCTGTCTCTCCACTTCCTTCCAGCCTACAGCAGCCAGAGCTTAAAGTCAGGGTCTTCTCTTTCCTGTCCCTTGTAACATTCTGCCTTTTCACAGGCCTCTGCTCTGTGTTGCCCATCAACGCCCCTGAACCTAGCACTCTTCTCTCTCTTTGTTCTGTCAGCCATCAGCAGCCTCAAGCATTAACGTCTTCTCTCCTGGCTTATTTGCTAACTCTCAGCTCTATCACTGACTCTCCTCTATTTCCGTTCCAGCTGTTGTCACAAGATGTGACAACAGTAAGCAGGCTCATTCTCTATTCTGCTGATCTAGCCCTTGCTAACCAGACCTTTCCCAGCTTTCCTGTGTGTGCATTATTGCTAATGTACTTATGTCCCATTCCCTGTAGGTCAGGACTTCTACCACAGTAGGATCACTCTCCTTTTCTTTGCAGGTCCTGCTCTAATCTCTATCACTGCCGAGACGGGCCATGGGAGTCTGCCAAATACGTCTATAAAAATTCTGTACATCAACAAATCATGTTCATTCTTTCTAATGATCTCTCTTCATTTAACTTTATTTAACTAATTAAATTTATCAGAATCAGAATCAGAATACTTTACTCATCCCGAGGGAAATTAGGGTTACAGCAGGCAGCACGCTAATGGCGCATGCGCACTTACAAAGGAACCTTCTGACCAACTTTACACAAACATCACATTGGGCAGACATGTCAGAAAGGTAGGCTGATAGGAAAAAACAACGAAAATACACTACATGAGGTAAGAGGAGGAGAAAAAAAACTCCACTCAGACTGAGCTCCTAGTGGGAGAACAGTTTGATAACAGAAAAAACACCTCAGCACAAAAGCACATGACTATCAATACACCATAGAAACATAAGACAAGCAACAGGGGCGGGTAAAGGGTAAGAGAGAGCCGGTGTAGACAGCGCATCCGGTCCTGCAGTATATCTGCGCTGGTCCAGTTGACTGCTATCTTCCCCGGTAGGGCACAAGCATCGAAGGCGTTGGAAAGGGAGGGGGGATGAGTGAGTGCTTATCAGTGTAAGTGTGTGTGTGTGTGCGTGTCCATAGTTTAGCTGAGACAGTGTCCTTCGGCCTATCAGGCTAAGTAAACAGTCCTCCAGCCAATCCAGGTGTCCTTTATTTGACAAGCTCAAGCTTTTTGGAAGCTTTGTGTGTTTTCCAGACTTAGACAAAGACAAATATTGTAGTTATGGAGATCTCAGTTATTTACTTCACAAATTTATCGTTTTTATGTAGTTTATTACATTTACAGGTTTTGTTGTTGGCATTTTTGTTCCTTTTCTTCCTTCTGTTTTGTTTCCTTTATTATAGTCAGATGAATTTTTGTTCACCCAGGGGTTTCATATCTGCCTAATTGCCTCATGTGTGTATTTAAAGGCTCAGTCTCCCTTTGGCCTTTGACAGAGCATCTGGTAATACAGGAAACTAAAACAACTTTAATAATAAACATTTACAAAACAAATTTAGAGGATTCATATTTTTCTACTAGTTTTAAAACACATCTTGGAACTTTTCAGGGAAATATAGACCTTAAATTTCTTGATTTCAGAATTTTGATGGAACCATGCTTCCCACTCACACACAATGTAACACATACAATTATTGTGATGGTTTTAACGAAAACCACACTTTCAGTACAGTGGATGTCTAGGTCTGGGATCTTAACTTTCTGTTGAGGGAGTCATTTCCAATGTCAATGATGTGTCTCATGGCGTTCATTATTATAGCATCCATGTCAGGATTCAGTTCTGTTTCTGAGTGGTAGTTCTTCACTGGAAAAATAAAGTTAATAGGGATGCCCACACGTTTGCTGAACTCCTCAATCTAAATTAAAAAACAAACAAGAAATATAAAAAATATGAGAATTATTTTGACAGTTATAATGCATTCCTGTATACAGTTCTATTAAAATAAAGTACCCTTTTCTGCAGACATTCGCTCTTGTAGACATTTGTCACATCATGTTTTATCTCAGGAAAAGCCTCGTCAATTTTGGTGAAAATTGCCACTTGTGGAATCTCTGACAAAATAAAATACAAATATTGAGTGAATGGATTGTGATGTGAGATAAGTGTTTCCTAACACTTCTAGTTGTACATAAAAGACGGTGGTCCAATTTCTATCTGGAAGAATCATGAAAAATTTGGTAACTTCCAAATGACTGTGGTTACAACTGTGACTGTGATTTGTGAACTGTGATTATAACTGTGAATCCAAAGACCAGGTACTTGGAGCTGCTGCGTGGCACATACGAGTCTGATGTTGGTGGAATAGTATTGACAGCTGAGATAATGTACAGGATATACACGGGGAATCTGTGGGTGTTTTAGCAAAGAAACTGATGCGCTGTGGCTCCAATTGCTCAGTGTAGCTCTCTCTTAAACCCATTTTACAAACTCTGGTTTAGACTCTGATCCTACCTACATTCTGCAAATCTCAGGTGGGTTATGTTTGTATACTGTTTGTATATTATTTATGTCTTTGTGCTTTGTGCTATTTTGCTCTTGTGAAGATAGCTCTTATTTGTTCAATTCTTCATTTACTTTAATTTTCACTTATAAATGCTATATAAGACAAAAATAATCCTCTTTTTTGAGGAGGTATTTAACTAAAAAAAATCACATATTTTGACTTTGAATTATATATTTTACGTGTGAGCTTACTAATTAATACATTTCTATCTGTATTTATAAATTATATACTAAGAGTAATGCTTCATTAATAAGGAATTAAGGGCTGACTTATAGCTTAACAATGTGAATAAGTGTTATTCTTTATTGATGGGTGTTTACACTGAAATAGCAATAACAATAACAAGTACTGATGGCTTACATTAGATTTTTTTAAGGCAGTTAGTTCCCATTGTAAAAAGAAGAAGGAGTGATTTTTGCTCACCCAGCTCAGTGGCTTCATCTCTGACGTCCTGTATTGCTTCCACAGTGGCATCACTCATCAGAGATGCAGTGTTGGTATCAACAACACAAACCAAAACGTGCACTTTGTCATTCTCAGTTGGAGTTCTGTTGTAGTATCTATCGCCTTTTGACAGTTTGTTTTCAGGGTTGAACTAAAAGATAAAGTGTAAATATAAAACAAATAATGTAAAATGATGAATTACCAAAAAAATAATAATAATAATAATAATGTAAAAATCTCATTCTTTTAACTGAATGTCAGAATTTTAAAAATGCAGTAACTCTACCACGTAACCATCTTTTATGTGGCCCTTCAGCGCCTGTTTGACATCTTTCACATGAATCCTTCTGTTTCTTCTGCTGGTTGTCTTTTTCAACCCCATCATGTCATTTAGGACAAAAGGGTAAAAGGCATTTCCCTTTTTGATCCTGTAGGTTGTATACTGTGGATCACATATGGAGAATACATTTATTTATTTTAACATTCAAACACTCTCAGAAACAGGTCCCATAATGATTATAAATTCAGAAGAAATTTACAATCTATTGAGCTCTTGTTATTTTCATAATTTGTTGCCGCCACAGCATCACCGCTGGGTTAGTGGAATTTCATACCGAAACTTCAAGGTGAAAATTTTTAAGTTATTATTTTGGCCTTTTGAAACCAGAGGTGGTGAGCAAGGGGTGAATCTGATAGAGAAACTAAAGTGCCACTACTACTAGAAAGCGGCATTTGTAACACGAGCTTGTGAGGCAGGAGGGGCTAACAAAATCAGACAATGATAGCTATTGCATCTAGTAATAGCTAGTGCTCATTAGCACCAAGTATTACAGGGTTAGCTCATTGATGCTACTGATAGGATAGGAACATGGTGCATTCATTTGGTGGAACATAAGACTATCCGATTCCAGTTCTCACCACATGTTAACTTGGCATACATGACAGTAAAAAGCCTTCACCAACTTGCACATTCATGGATAAAGCCAGATCACTGCTCTGCCTACAAGTTATTTAGTGAGTCACATATTAACTGTTACTGGCATAGTTGTACTCTGTCCATACCTTTTTGGTGGAACAGTCACAAGCGTTAGTCACCAAAGCCTCGCAACATACTCTCTTTTGTAAGACACTGTTTACAGAATTGATGAAACTAGATTTTCCAGCTCCAACTGGACCATGAAGAAGGATCCTAAGATTTTGTTCTTCAACCTCAGGTTTGTAGTTCTCCACAAAATGCTGATCAGTTGAGTTCTCTCTGCTTAGGAAAGGAAATATTACATTATCTCACACCTTACATGGAAAAAAATTATAGACATGGAACAACTGGGTAGTTTACTGACTAAACAGAGGAAATAATTCAAATGTATTTTTTTCTGTGAGCTTCACTCACCCATTGTTAATTTGCCTCCACGGGTTTTCAAGAACTGACATGAAACAGTTTAAAGAGAAAATAATATTTATGTATAGTACATTTTTTTTTGGATGACAACTCGTATCATTATAGCTTTTGAATAAACTTACATAGAGATGGAGCAACTGTTTTTGAAGACGAAGAACCCATAACTGAAATATTTATTCTATTTAATTCAAAGTTTACAGAAACGATTTCATTCTTGCTTTGGATTAAAATGAACCTACCTTTGCTTGACAAAGCCTGCCACCCAATGCCAGAATGTGAACCTATCTACAGTTTTAAAGTCTTCCAAATCTGTTTTTTTCTTTCAATTTAGCAGAACATGTGACTTCTAGAACTTCCCCTTTGTCACAGTTTACTTTCATTTTCATCTTGTTTATAGATAACATGAAAACAGCAACATATTGATGTTTCCACTGTCACGTTTACTGAAAATATTTAATCTTACATCCTAACAGTGTGCTGTGTCACTGTGTCTTTATGATTTCTGGAAAATGATAAAATTTTAACTGTGGCTTTTCATTTGGTTGAGTTTGATATACTTCTATCATATAAAGTCATGTATTCCCACAAGGGGTTCTGCAAATTATTAGTTTTTTAAAACTTATAAGTAAGTAAAAAAAATTTTTATATAGCACCTTTCTAGATAAAAGATCACAAAATGCTTCACACAAGGATAACAAAGCATAATTACTTTGTTATTATGTGAACTTGTCATGGGCGACTAGGCTTATTCAGGGTTTGGATTTAACCCTTTAACCCTTTAAAGTCGGTCGGAACGGGCACGCTCTGTTTTGCGTAATTATTTTTAAATCCCGGTAGCTCTGCAACCACGTAAGCTAGCGCAATAATTTTTTTTGCATATGAAACCAGAGGAGTTGTACTTACATCTTATACCATCAGCTTGTCCTAGGTCACAGTTTCCTTCCACATATAGCTTTGCAAAAACTGCATAAAAAGCAATTGCAGCAACAAAAACATAATATTCCAGAAACACGCTTTGCCGATCCGATCAGCTGTTTGTAACACTTCCTACGTCCATCAGCGTGAACTATCGCATGTCCGCCATGACCTGCCCGAAACCGGAAGTGACGTCATTTTCGAAGAAATGTAGTTTTTTACCATCAAGGCCTCATGAGCCTATACTGGTGTTTTTAAAAGTTATGTTTGACTTTATGACTTTCTGTGTCGTTTCTGGGATGCTTAGGACTCATATTGCACTGCTGGAAATAGTTTATTTTGATGCAGATGCTGCTTTTTTGCAAATTTGCACTATAATATTTATTTTCGTTTTTCCTGCAGTGTATAGAAATTGGTGTATTTCAAAAATAAAAGTATGAAGACACTCAAAATAAATTTCCTGTGGTGGGAAACTATTTTGTGCAACTTTTTTGTATTTACAGTTTTGAGGGATAAGCCTCTTAAATTTCTGTAACTAGAAATATATGTTAAAAAAGCAAAAACGATATTCAATTTTTTTGTAGTTTATTGCACTTTTTTGCAATTTATGTAAGTACTATGCACTTAATGCATACATATTATGAAAATCTGGGCTATAATGGTTGTATTGATGTATAGCAACTTGAAATTCTCCCAAAAATGGCACTACAACATGTAAAAATATAATATAAGCTCTGGCGGACTTGGTTCTATGGTAGGTCTTAAAGGGTTAAAGCTGGTCGGAGCGGGCACGCTCCGTTTTGCGTAACTATTTTTAAATCCCTGTAGAACCAGAGCCACGTAATGTTTTATCTGAATTTTTTCTGAATTTTTCAGTAGAATTCAACAGAGTTCCGAGTTAGTTCAACACTTAATCGAGTTAAAATAACACATCGGGAGTTGATTCCTGAAAAGTGTTACTGTGGATTTTAGTCGTTACTGCATTTTAACACTGTGGGTGTTAAATTAGACCACACCTTCATTTCCTGTGGAGCTTCGCATTCCAGAATCTTCGGTCGCCATTTTTTCTTGCTTCTGCGGTAAGTTTTATTTGGTTAAATATTAAGTTTTAGATTGATGTTAGAACAAGTAACATGATAACTAGTAAAAGAAATAATATTTATATCAAAATGCATCATCTTTAAGTGTCATATTTGAATTTTAACTGTTTTTGTTAAGCTGGGCTACTGCTAGCTAGAACTCTACAAAGTACCAGTTACTTTCCTAATATTGTTACGCCCCAGTCTAGGGGTACAGGAACGCAACATAAGTTTGAAAAGATTGCCCCGCCCTGGTCCCCAAAAACCATACACAGAGGGAAACCAATTTCTTAGTGAATGGTGATTTATTTTTCTACACTGCAAAAATGAGGCTCCGGGGTGAACAAAGGCCAAAATAACAAACAAAACAAGCTAAGTCAGGAGGAGGTGCTATCTAAAACCCTATGTGAAATCAAATATCAAACAAAAGACAAGCGCTACACCTAACTCCCTAACTGAAATAAACAGGAGAAAACAGTGCAAGGAAAACAATAAGGCAGCTCACCCCTTCTGTTCCAGTGCTATTTACAATGTGCTATTTACAATGAAAACTAATGTACACACTATATCAGGGGTCACTAACAGGCGGACCGGGGTCCGAGTCCGGACCCAGTCGCCATCCTATATGGACCCGGACCTATAGTTAACAAAATATTAAATTATATTTAATTTTGACGGGGTGATTCAATTTTAAGCGGTAACGTTACATTGTATTAGACCACGGAACATACAAACCAATTGTGTGCGAGTTAAGCCACCCACGTGACACTGCTTAGCCAATCACATCTGTGCATTCAAGGTGATCGCAACGCTGAGTGCAGACACAGACAGACAGAGGAAAGAGACGGTGAGTGGCGAATGACAAGCGAGACGATTAACGATACAGTGAGACAAGACGTGAGTGGGAGTCACGAAAGGTAAAACAACTATGGCGCTTTCAAAAAAGAGAAAAGTAGACACCGAAAATAGAACTTTCAAGACTGAATGGACCAAGGCATATATGTTCATTCTTCCGGCCGCAAGCAGCAAACCAGTGTGTCTCATATGTTCAGAAACCGTGACACTGATTAAAAGTGGCAATGTCAAACGCCACTATGAGACAAAGCACAAAGCTTTTGAACAATCATACCCACCCAAGTCTGAACTTAGGTCCCAGAAAATTAGCAGTCTCAGAGCCCAATATGATCAATCCACAAGGATCTTAACCAGTTCTTTCACTGCCCAACAACGTGCTCATGAATGTTCCCTCACAGTTGCTTGGATTTTAGGTTAACACAAAAAGCCCTTTGCAGATGCAGGTGTTGTCAAAGAGTGCATGAGTGCAGTAGCAGAAACATTACTTGAGGGTAAACAAAAAGAAGAGCTTTGTGACAAAATAAAGAAAATACCTATGTCAGCATCAACAGCCACAAAGAGAAGTGAAATATTAGCTCAGGATGTGCTGTCCCAGCTGGAAGAAGCTATTCATAAGACACCATGTGTAGGCTTGGCTGTAGATGAGTCCACTGATGTGTCTGACAATGCTCAGCTGTTAGTTTATGTAAGGTTCTTCAACAATGATAAGAAAGAGTTCTGTGAAGACCTGCTAGGTGTAACTTCTCTTCACAGCACTACAAGAGGAGAGGATATTTACCTGGCCATTAAGGAAATGTTAACAAAGCGAAGAGTAGAGCTAAACCAAGTGGTTTCAGTAACCACAGATGGAGCCCCTGCTATGATGGGGAGAGAGAAAGGAGCTGTAGCAAGAATGAAACAGGACAATCCCGAGCTAATCTCTTACCATTGCATTATTCATCAGTCTGTCTTATGCTCCACCCTGTCAGATGAGTATGCTGAGGTGATGAAAACAATGATGGAAATGATAAATTTGCTCAGGGCATCTTCTTCTTGTCATCATCGCATGCTCAGGAAATTTCTCAGAGAAGTTGATGCACATGCTGATGATCTTCTGCTTCACAACAATGTGAGATGGCTTAGCAAAGGCAGGGCATTAGAGCAATTTTGGTCCATCAGAAGTGAAGTAGCAGCTTTCTTGGAAGAGCTGGAAAG